ATATTGAGAATTCCCCATCAGTCCAGAGGGAGGATTGCACAAGTGTGTGTGTATGTGTGTGTGTGTGCAGTTGCAAGGCTTGGTGTGAAGCATCTTGATTTTGCCACTGCAATTTGAAGCGGGAGTGAAGTTCTGGCACGCAGGTTTTCACGACCAATCTTGTTCACCTTCGTGTTCCCTCTAAACCCGGGCATGTGCTCTTGCACGAGAGTTGTACCTCTTGATAAAGGCAGATTTCATTGACAAGAGAACATTCGCAGGACACAAGCTCCTTCAGTTTTTCTCATGCTTCCCATAGTTTGCCCGGAGTCGACATGCCATGCTGCCTTCTTCACCTACATGCAGACTTCGTCCTCACTGATTTCTACGTCGGACATCGGCAGTCAAAATGTTTAGCATGGTTGCAGGTAACATCTCTGCAACTGGACGCAATTGGTGCACATTTTTTCATCTTGTCACCGGTACAGGTATGACTTTACTGCACAAATTAGCACACTTACAACGACTACTTTTACGTACTATGTTGCGACTATTTCGCATTGTTGCCAGCATTTGCCTTGCACGCCCAACTCTATGCAGGTCCTTGATCAGATGCTGCGCGAGCATCCACCTGGTCTGCTGAGCTTGGTGCACCCAAAGTGACATGGCGCATGGCAACGCTGTGTGGTGGGTTGATCTTTCTTCGGGCGCTCCTCAAGAGTTGTGGGGGCGGCAGCGGCGGCGGCGGCGGCGGCAGCGGCAGCAGCAGCAGCAGCAGTGGTAACATTAGCTGTAGCAGTAGTAGTAGCGATTGCAGTAGCAATTGACAAAGCAGCGTTCTAAGACAGGTTTAGTTGAGTCGGGTCTCTTTGAGAACCTCCTCAGCCCAGAAATTCAGGAGCATGGTGAATCTGTCTCGCTGTTTGAGGTTTGGAGACGTAGACTATGGTGAGCTCGAGGAGTTCACAACACTCACCTTGACTGTGGATGGCCAGGACCTGATGTGTGTGGAATGTAGATGAAGCTTTCTCACAAGTTACACTTGGTCTTCGTGAAGTTGGGTGAGTAACTGCTCCTATATCCTATTCTTTGCTTTTGGAAGCAGAACCTCGCAGGAGCACGTGGTAGTTGTTCGCAAGTTGGAGCATGAGCTCAATGGCATCACTCGGTCGTGGTGCGCCCGAGGGTTTAGGGTTCGAGGTGTGATCAAGTCACAGTTCCTTCTGCCTTATGGACCTGGTGTTACTTCCGCATGAGGCTATGTCCCATGAGAAGGGGTCCTACACACCACGCATAGTGCTGGGGATAGCCCCAGAAGCGGTTCCTTCAAGACAAAGTCAATTCATGCTGACCCTGCCTGCTCGATCAAGGTCTTAATTCGGGACTCCTTCGCATAGCAACAAGTTACGAAGCCCAACAAATTCATGTTCCAGTTTCACGATATGCTTTGCGTGCAACAGGAGATCATTGCCATCTTTCCCGATAGTTGTTGATCGTTGGCTTTCATGAGGACAGCAGAATGAGGAGGAGAGTCCTTTTACAGCCGCCTGCACACACACTTAAGACCAAGCCAAAGCTTTGAAAATCCCATACTCTTCATCAGCTAAGCACGCTGTTCCATCTCGGCGCCGGTAGCTGTGATGTGGGATGGTGTCTCTTTTGGCTGCACTTCTTCCCTACCATTGCACGGAATGCTGCAACAGCGACGAGGCTGGAGGGCTGCAGAGTGTAGAACCTGGAATTGCTTGATGGCCGATACTCATAGTTCTCTAGATTATGGGCCTCTTGTATTGCCCGAACTCTTAGGGTCCCGATGACGTTTCCAGATAGCGTCATAGTTGTTTGGAATTGCGCTTTCCTGTGCGATTTGCAGCAGGATTTAGGGTGTAGAGCTTTGGAGTTCAGTAACCTTGGGTTTAGGGATTCAGGGGTTTGGGGTTTACCTCTACAGCATACGTCACTTAAGTTTGATGCTGAGGTTCTACACAGGTGGAACTCGGACATGCAACTTCTGAACCCTAAACCGCTATCCCAGGGGCAGTGAGCTCAAACCTTGGCCTGTTTAGGGTTTAGGGTTTAGGATTTAGGGTTTAAGGTTTAGGGTTTAGGGTTTAGGGATGGCAGCCCCGTACAGGAAACACATTTTTCAAAGTCACACCCGCCCCTCCCCCAGCAGAAACTTCCACCTCAACACCACCTGGTATCTGCCGATATCTCCTTACATTTCCTGGTGTATCCCCTTCTCCGTGCATTAACCTAATGATAAACCGCCCCATCCCCTGATTATTGATACCCTTAACTTGGAAGAACATTCGTTTTGATATCCCTAAACCCTAAACCCTAAACCAGTAAATCCCTAAACCCTAAATCCCTAAACCCTAAACCCCCCCCCCCAAAACCTCGCCTTGGGGGAAGGCGAAACCGCCGATCGTCGAAGGCTACGGAGACCTTCCTGGCATTGTCCAGGTGGAGGAGAAAGGGTTGAGGTATGCTATAGGATTTTGGACCTAGGAGTAGATTTGATGAGTTCAGGGTATAGGTATAGTATAGGAGCAGGAAAGATTTAGCGAGTTCAGGGTTCAGAGATTAGTTTGCGGTGTTAGTTACCTGTCGAAACCGGATTCCTTGGACTTGGATTGCAGCACTTTGTCGGTTTTGAGATGGGCACGAAGAGTGCGGAATAACAAATCAAGCACTTTCTTCTGGCGTTGTCGGGATTGTAGGTGTTCTGGGATTTGGAGTATATAGGCCCAAGATATACCCGATTATACTATAGTAGTTTTCATTTTCTTTTCCATTATCCTTATTTAATCCCCATATAAACCGGGTTCAGTGGCCTAAATTGGGAACTGAAATTATTCTAAATTACCTTGAATTTGAAATCCAGAGCAGGGTATATAAATGGCTAACGTTTTAGGGTGGGTCCAACGAAGCTGATACTAAGCCCACACTTGCTTTTGTAACCCTGCAGTACTCCGCTACTCACTGTAGGATCCCTCGACTTGCTGCAAACCCCTGAAATCCTCAACCCTAAGCCCCTAAGCCCTCAGCGTAGCATCCCAACATACACTCATAACATCTTCATGGCCATCACAACGCTTGCCACAGAAGATACCCTGTTTAATGACTGCTCCAGGGCCTTTTCTTGAAGGTCCATGGGCACTTCAAGCCTCCATGTTGGGGGACTTAGGGTGTTTATGGTGGGTATGTGTACACCTAGAAGTAGGTTATAAGTATCCATGGACCTCCAAAAGGTGCAGGGGATACAGTAATGAGGGCTGGGCGACACTGCGCCGTAAAAGCTTGGAAGTCCCCACATATCTTCATGGGCTTAGGGTTTATGGTCTAGGATCTAGGGCCTTACCCCAGTATGGCAGTACTTTAGGTAAGTGAATTTGTGCAAGGTTGGCTCCATCGACAGTAGGCCTTTCCCCTAATGTTAAACACCCTTCAGCCCGCAATCCCAAATCTTCGCCACAAAATACCCCAGATTGGTACCAATAATAATGAGAGTGATCCTTAACCCCAAAACCCAAAATGCCCAAAAGCCTCAAACCCTGAACCCTAAGCCCTAAAGCATAAACGCTAACCCCTCCACCAAAGAAAGAAACTTAACCCCCGCAAATCCTAAAACATCAACCCCAAATCCTCAACCCCAACTCGGCGGCGGCCACATCCTTGCTGCTTTTGAGGATCAGTGGCTTGTGGAGTGTTAGCCTACGGTGACCAAAAAGAAAAAGCAAACCTCAAACCCTAAACCTTGAACTCCAAGCCCTAAAGCCTGAACCCCATACCCTAAGCCTCCAACCCTAAACCCTAAACCCTTACACCCTAGACCCTAAACCCTTACACCCTAGACCCTAAACCGAAACCCCCAAACCCTAAGCCCTAGACCCTAAACCCTAAACCCCTAAATCCTACACCCTAAACCCCTTACACCCTAAACCCTTACA